TCACCTCTGTTGTGCGCCATGCATAACGCACTCACACTGAGGTATTGGGAAGGTGCAACTTCAGGATAGGGCTTCCTTCATGCAAGTAGATGTGCTCCTGAAATCGGAAAGGCCCGGAAGTGTATTTTCATCTGTTTATTAACTCATGACCTCAGTGTGGGCGATCGTCGTATTTCCTGTTATCGCCCCTTCCCCACTTATGCGCTGGCAGGTTGCTTCTGTTTTGTGTGTGCCTGTCCAGGGGTTCTTCACTTGGAAGTCTTTCGTCAATGAAGCTGAACGACATCTAGATATCGCTGCACCCCATTTTAGAGAGGGCCCTGGCTAACGACCCCCATCCCTCCCTCGGGGTGAAATACGACCCCCTGTTGTGATTATCACCACGATGACGGGTCCTGTTCGAATGTAACGCAGTAACGCCACACTTCAGATTGCCGCGGCGCGGTGTGTCCTCCTTCCCCCGACTGCCACAGCCGCAGCAGCGGCAAAATAACAAGAACTCTTGAAGTCACGAATAATAAAAGAAGTAAAGCTGAGTGGGTACAATGGACTAAAAACACTAGCAAACTGAAAGCGATACCTGACGTCATGGCGCTTCACCCAAAATGGTGGTCCGTGCATTGCGTGAAAAGAAATGGTCTGCAGCTTCAGTGATGAAGGTGTAGCACATAGAGCTGAAGCTGGCTGTAGAAGGGGCAGGAAGAGACTGCCAGAGCCAGTTGGCCACGATCGATCTTTTCACTCTCAGTGGTGATGGTGGATTGAATGCTGAATTGAAGATAATCAAAAGCGGCCAGAAACCGTTAATTCGTTATTGGAAGTTCTCAAAAAAGATCAACTCCAATCAACTCCCTCGATCAGCCCTAAAAAAAGGAGGTGGTACCTGGAAAAGCCAAAAAAGCTTCGTAGTTTAATTCAGTTCGGGGCACTTCTGAACTACTGCCACCTCGAAAACTCAGAAAATTTTGTGCTGGAACTCTGCCTATTGATGTTATTCGATGTCCAATCATGAATGTGACATTCATTTTTGGAGCTGGCGCCATTCGGCGCCAACATGACGTCCTCACTTTTCTCACCAAATGCCAAAAACTTGTATGAGAGGGTTCGTGGACCGTGATCACGAATATGGCATTCTTTTGATGCTGGCCGCCATTTGACACCATTAGTCGCCAATTCCGGCGCCACATCCTTTTCCTCAGAATCGATAAAAAACCAAACCTAATTGGGCTATTCGATGCCCTGATCACAAATTTGGCGTTTATTTCTTGACAACAGCCCGATTTAGCGTTCTTCTAAAGGCTGAGGAAGAAGTGATCCTCTTGAGGACGGCCATAGCATAGCGCAGATGACCATAGTGTCCTACATTAGCGCCGGCGCCGAGTATGAATGTCATATCCGTAATCAAGATGTCAAATAACCCTTGCGTATGAGTGTTCATCGATCTTGGTTATTTAAGGTGTTTTGGCGCCGGCGCCCGTGGCGCGGAAGCAAGGCGGATGTGCTATTTATGTTTAGGAGGTCAAATAACGCCTATATGCAAGTTTTCATCGATTTTGGCGATTCCGGCTGTTTTGGCCCCGGCGCCCGTGGCGCGGAAGCTAGGCAGTTTCGGGCTGAGTGGATGTGATATTTGTGTTCAGGAGGTCGGAATGCTGGATTACCCCTGTAAGCAAACTTTCAGTCAAACGTCGTAGAAAAAAAAGTCGGTAAAAAACCGGCCTAGTTTCGGAAGACTAGGGTAGGAAGGGATCAATAGTGCCCAGTTTCCGGTGCGACAATCAAAGAAAACATTCCAACAGCGGAACCCACATACTTATGCAATTTAGCGAATTTAGTGTACGGTATTAGAACTGCGGTGCGGCTACACACGCCACAATTTCACAGCACGCGCAATCGAACGCTGTGCTGGCGCACGCTAGCGTAACGCTAGACTGTTCCACTGTTACGCAGGCGTACGCTGGTAAGGCTAGATCGATATCCATCCTTCACTTGCCACTGCCACTGCCGAACGCTGGAAATGCTAGCTTACTGGCGTACGGTGCCGCAAAGTATAAACCAACCTTATTCGGATATGGGTGTCCAGATTATCCAGTTCCTGCTTACGGTTAGTTGGTTCGGTATACATAACACGTCAAATAATAACCTGGTGTGAATGTTGCGCACGTAACTTCGTCTGCAACGCCGCGTACCCGTACTATGAACGTAGTGTTCCACACCCAGTTAGTTCACTGGTTCACTGTCCACCAGGAAAAAAAAACGGTGCAGCAGAATAAACAAAAAAAAACGGAATGCTGGAAGTATTAACTCCTGGCTTCGTCCTTTTGCTCGGCTGCAAAAATGAGAAATGAATCCCAGCTGGGGGTGGGGGTCGTTGAGAAGGTAAGAAGATTACCATTCTCTTGGACGCGATATTTTGACCCTTATGTCAGGATGTAAAGTGAAAGAAATTTTGACGCTTGCTGATAATCTCTAACTTCTCTCTTGCTGTAACCTCGGCATCGCCGTATGATTCGTTAATGCTGCTGTGCCTTACGAGCTTTTAAGGTTGTATTTCTTTATTTAACGGCCTAGCGTTTCAATGTTGTCATCTTCTTCGGAAGCCTAAACGCGTTTCGAGTTATGGAAATGAACACTACTCCGCCAAGCGCCCAACCAACTCTAACAGTTCCGATGATTTGTTCGGAGCTCAACAAGAAAATCCGGCACTATTGAACTATTCCTACCCCAATAACTTAAAAAAAATTTTGCGCTGAAACGTTGTCTATAGGTGTGGTTCGATGCCCTGATCACGACTATCACATTCGTTTCGAGCACTGGCGTCATTTGGCGCCATTATGCCCCCTTGGCGCCCACCACTTTTTTCACCAAAGGCGATGAATACTTGCATGTGGGAGTTAATTGAGGTCCTGATTACGAATACAACATTTTTTTGGCGCTAGCGCCATTTGGCGCCATTACGCTCCAATTTGGCGTCATATTGGCGCTCAATGGCGCCACATTGCGTCAGCGCTTGAAACCAGCGTGATATTCACAATCAGGACCTCAAAGCCCCATATGCAAGTTTGCATCAACTTTGGTGAAAAAAGTGGTGCGCCAAATTGGCGCATAATGGCGCCAAATGACGCCAGCGTTTGAAACGGATGTTATATTCGTGATCAGCACATCGAATTACATCTATAAGCAATATTTCAGCAAAAAAAATTTTTCGAGTTTTTTGGGGTAAGAATAGCTCAATAGTGCCGAAAAGTTCAGATTTGATCCCTGAGCAGTGGTCAAGTGACATCGCTCCATTGCAGACGTGTAGGGATCAACATGGTGTGGCTGCATTGGGCGTTCTTCTGTAAGCTGTGGGTGGTCTATACAATGGAAACAGTCTGGATATTGTTGAACGGTAAGGCTGGATCACAAACATTCGCTTACATTGGTATCTGCATTCTCATCTATGACACTCGACGAAGTGAATTTACCCGAGTGGCACATACGCGCACACATCGATCTGCCTTTTCTGTATCCGTGCTCACTGACTGTTTATAAGCCGTTGGAGGATGGGATGGACGATCGACTTTGAAAGGTTAATCAGGGAACATTTGGTGGAATGCAGGTTTGGAGATCTACATGAGAAGGTAGTTCATACCCTCGCGATTGCGCGGAGATTCATCTTTCTTATGACATGGAACTTTACTTTATAGGCCCGAGTGCGGTAACGTACGCATCATTCGCATCAAGACTCAACCCACTTATCGCAGCAGTCTCCGATGCGCCGCTTCTCTCTCTCTCTACGAGGGGGCGGGGGGGGACAAAAGAGCCACTCCCTTCCTTGACACTCAAGGCCTTATAAGTTACACTTTCTTAAATTCTGATCGGACAATATTACCACCATATAAGAGAGCAATAAATACTATCATGATGACTCGGATAACATGTGCGCTTTGGGGAGCGCCGCGGAGAGATTCTGCCACGTCAATAACGATATTCGAGACTTGAACGCTGGCTTCAAGCGAGACAGTTGATTTCTCTGCCACTGTAGACCCCTTGTTGAGCTCTGGCCGACCCGGTAATTGAGAGGTTTAGGTCAGGGACATACTTGAATATTTCTCTTCTTCAGGTCTAAACGCCCTTCTCTGAGTAGAGCTGGAATAGAAGTTAGAGTTAGTTAGAGCTTTTCTCCAACACTCTTCGATCCATTGTGGCGCACCGGAACCTGGGCAGTACAAAGAAGGTACGGGCAACGACATGTAGGGAGGATTCTCTTCGAGTTGCTCGATGCGGACCGAGCGCTCACCTTCAGCCGGGTCTACAAAGAAAATATTCGGCTTCCATTCCAGTCCTTACCTCAGCTCGCGCTTCGGAACTACGGTGAAATGATGTCTAGACCGTAGCGAAGTTGTTGGAGCTCTCGATGTGTGGAGGTCCTCCAGATCGAGGGTAGCTGTCCAGGCAGTCATCCATGGGTGACTCCGTACTAGATTTCGCAGCTGTTTGGAGGTGACGTCAATCCAAAAGTCTTCTCCAGTCAGGTTGCAACTGGAGATGACTTCATATTTTGGTGTCCATGATGGTGATTGGCGTGAGCCAGCTCCTGCTTATCGAGGTACATCTTACGTATCTCCTACTCGTATCACGTCCCTTCTCTGCTGTCAAAATTTTTGCTGATATGTGACTTGGTCGAAGTAATTTTTTTTGCCCCCCCCTGTAGCGTCTCTCGAATCGACGAAGGCATTCTTTCGATGCTTGTGTCCACTAGACCAACTGGACTTAGAATATCATCCTGCTAGCTGCTACTTAATAGCTGGGTTCCATCCCCACATACTACTCGCGGCGCAGTAAAATTTTTTGCCGACACCAAAGTGGATTCTCCTGACCGACGACTCCACTGAATGTGCAGATCGTTAGTTTACTCTGGATGGAATCGTGCGTCGAATATACCAATTTCACAGAGGTTTAATTCAGATTAGGCCCACAGTTTGGGGTAAAAAGCGGTTTAGATCGCGTAGTTTTAGCATATCGAAGAACATCTGGGATGGCAGTGGCCTCGACGGTCATCTGTAAGTCGCAGAGAGGATATGATGGCCTCATCCAGATTAGTCGTTCGATTTGAAAATATTGACCCTGTCAAGAATTAAGTGGACTGCCAGTAAGATCCAATTGAAGATTATTGATATATGAGGTGGATGACTAACATCATAACTTCCATAATCCTACAAGACCGCTGATTCTTATTTAGTGCTCGTAGGTGAGAATGCGACGCGTAAATGAAACCCTATTATGCTGGTTGAGTGAAATGACAAACATTACCGTAACTATGACAGATCCAACGCGTTGCACTGAACGATGATGTGACTCTCTACTGCATCTAACATTCTCTACGATTTTTCTTCCTTGTGCAAAGGTATGGCAGCACGGAGCCTACCCCAATACCGTTACTGCAATTTCTTTTTATATCATATTCCGTTTGATTGAATAGTGGACCAAATGAAGCTCAGGCCGCGGGCTCATTCGCCCCTTACCCTCCGCCTTGACTGATTGGTGAGCGTTGTCACACTGCTTGATATTAGTCGATGTGAGAGCTGGTGTTGATGACATCCAAAGAATGCTCTGACAGTCACGAATTGATCGCAGATAGCAGTCAAGGATTTCGAAGAGTCTTTCTGGGGTCCCACTTTGCTCTGATCTGACTCCTTCGAAATGTGAAGACAAAAACATGGTTTTGTAAATGAATTTGTGTGGAAAAAGTTATCATACACTCTGCGTGTTTGATTCAGTGAGCGTTGAAGCGTTTTTCAAAGTGGAGGCTTGTCTTTCAGGCTGCTTTCATACTTTGCCGTCAGCGTCTAAGCGACGCCTAGCTATCCGACGTCCGGTAGTCAGAACTAGAAGTGAGGGTGATCTAGGTCTGGCCGCTCTCGAAACGTCCATTCAGTGACCAGCAGCTTTTGAGGGCTAGTGGAGATATAGGTACATGATTAGCGTCTGCAGTCCACCGCATCGGTGTAACCGCGACTTGGAGTAGAGAGTATGGGGAAATTACAGGAAGGTATTCAGAGTAGGGTGAGCTTTTCGAGGTTTTTGTCATATTGTAGGGGCTCATGCAAAGGACCCTGAAAAGTGTGGCTTCATTTCGCTGCGCGCTTTCAGGAACGATAAAAAAGGAGTGAGAAGAAGTTTTAGGATAACTGCTTTCGTTTGGGCCTGCCTTTGCGCGTATGGTCCTTGCACTTTTGACCAGTGCTGGTGGGGAGTCTTATAAAGGACTATTTTGATGAAGCGAAATACCGCAAGTGAGTTCCTACTTAGGTCATCGTGCTAAAAGGGTGAACGGCTTCTTGCAATGGTTTCGTCGAACGTTAGAATGCGCCCATGACTGGGATGCGACTGGCCTAAGGTATATGAGTGAGGTCCGAAATCGGACAGCGAGAAGCGGGGTTGAAAGTTCGGCTCCCTTGCTGGTGGGTTTGATTTTTAGATTTCGCTGTACTCGCGTTCATTTGTGGCCTGCATGAATGATAATCGTATATTTGCCATTTATGGGTAATTCGAGTAGCTGTACCTATGACAGTGCTATCGACTATTTGTAGTTTTCACGCACCATTGAGGGCAAATTGTTTGCTGTACGTTGGTTCTTCATGACTAGACTGTGGATCTTGTTTGCGAATTTAGTAACTTCTGGTGTAGTGTCATTTATAGAGAATTTGGGGAACACATATTCTTTCACTGCAAGTTGTTATGTTAGAGCGCAATTAGGGAGTTCAGCGCCTTCTGTGGCCAAATTGGTGAAGCCCAAGAATAGGTTTAATATTTGTGATCAGGGCCTGATTATACGTTAAAACGAATTTTGGTTAAACATTTGTTTTTGACCTTCTTGGCTTCGCTTTATTGGGGTTGTCGGGTGTCCGTGGCGTCCAACGACAGGTCATCGCTGTTAGCGAAGATGTGAAACTCTGCTACACCTGCCGTAAAGATGGTCGGTCACGTACCGGAAAAGTTCAAAAATTTTTTCGTCATCGCTTGCTCCTGGGGGTAATCGACAGTCCTGATACATTCAGACTTTTTTGGTTCGAGTGCATTGGCACCGCCTAAGCGGCCGGAAAGAGCTGTAGTCTGTGCATAACTAACCGAATTCTGAACAAAAAAGCAGTTTTTTGCTTCATATTCGCTTACGTGAATGTTTTTGTGGGCGAATTATTTAGACAAGCAGGTCCAAAAAAAAATTGTAGAAACAGAATTTTGTCCTCGTTGGGATCCGAACCATCGACCTATTTTTTTACGTTTTTTTTATTCGTAGAAGCGCGCAGCGAAAATGAGCCTCAGTTTTCTGGTCCTCGTATGTACCCCTACAATATGCACAAGACCATTTCGAAAAAGCTCACCACGCCCTGAACGACCTCCCTTGTAAGAGGGTAGCAAATAACTGGATAGGCGTCGTGAAATTGTAGCGCGTGCAACAGCACCCGCACAACTGCTAAAGCTTGAATTATGCAATCTTGTTGTATGGTGTAGTACAGTTGCACAGGCCGCAATTTCACGACGTCTAATCCGGCTGTTTCCTACCCTCCTGCTTCCCCACCTTATCTAGTTAAGGTCGCTGGTGGATGCTGGTAGATGCTGGCAAAAGCTGGCACACGCTAGATCGATAGATATACTTCGCTGGTAGACGCTAGCAGACGCTGAAAGACGATGGGTCGTTGTCTCTACTTTCCTGGTCGTTCCTAGTCGCTGACGCTGCCGAACGCTCGGAAAGCAAGTGGTTGCTGGACGATCCAGCTGAGTGGAGTTGCCTGGTGGACGCTGACGCAAAGTATGAACAGAGCCTCACATGCGCAAAAGGAAATTGTCGCGTAGTCAGTCACCCTGTTAGCTAAGGATAAGCAGTCACTCTCACACACTCTCGCGCGAAGAAGGTGGGTGTTGAGCGCGATTGTCTGAAGAATCGCGAAACTCGATAGCCAACTCCTCAATTTCATATTGCAAGTAGTGGCTTTCAGTTACTGAAAACTAAAATCGCTAAGTGACTGTACAGGGGAGAAAGAAGTGACTCGCCGAGAACACCCTATCTCCTGCAGCCTCAGCGTACAGGTTACCGGGTCAGCTGGTCTCATGCCACCCAAGCAATATCCTGCCGCATTGATTCTTTAATCTTTTCTTCTCCTCATCCAGTTCAAAGTACCATCTAACAAGGGAAAAAAAGAAATCACCGTGCAGAAACAAAACTTCTTCTTCTCTTCCATTAGATTAGTCCTGCGCAGTCATAGGGTCGCTGTTCTTGTGAGACGTCGCCACCTGTTCCGATGCATTACATCTTTTGCTGTGGAACTCAATTCAGTGAGGTCCTTCTCGATGACGTCCCTCCACCTTTTCTTTGGGACTCCTCCTGGTCACTTGCCCTGTACTTCAAAATCCAACGCCTTCCTTATTAGGCCTGACGTCCTACGACCACATTTCTAGCTCGGTCGAGGCGTTTCCAACCGCAGGCCCATTTCTACATCCACAATCCAGCTGAGTGGAGTTGCCTTCCACCACTTTTGCATGTGGGTCAAGGCTCGCTGCAGAGAGCATCGCAGGCCTAACTACTGCCCGGTACACCTTGCCCTTATAAAGGCACAGTTCGCGACCACAAATTGCGGGAAACGGGACTCAAATGGGCACAAAAAAGTGCCAAGTATCTGATTAGCGGAGAAAAGCAGCAGAAAAAGCAGTCCGAAATGTTATAGATAAAGATAACATAGTGGCTACTAGCTAGTAGCTAGCAGCCGGTGAGGGTCGGCATGGGCCTAAGGGGTGTCCATGGGCCTAATTAGTCAGCTATTAGCGGATTGTCACATGTCACTTGCCTATTGTCACATTTTGAAAGTAGCGCAGCCTCAAGAATCGCATTCCGGATCGTCAGACACATTTGAGAGGTCATAGCCTTATTTTTTCGCGGAATGTGCCTTTAAACGTTCTCGAGCACCGCCAGTGGTAGACGGTGTGTGTGGACTCGCTCTATCAAATTCAGGCTGCATTGATTCGAGCCTTTAACCGCTTGTCCACACTACCATCCGCTGCGATGTCGCTTCCCACGTACTGGAAGTTCTCGACCCTTTCTATGCTTTCGCCGTGGGGATCTACGATGGGTTTGGTGCACTCTTCAAAGCTTAGGGACTTAGTCTACTTTACGTTCAGCCAAAGTCCACTCACAGCGAGCACATCCTGCCAGCGCTGCACCTTGTCCTGAACTTCTTCCCTGCTATCCGCTATGAGGGCAATGTCGTCAGGATAGAGAATGGTTTTCAGTGGGTCGTCCATGGTTTCCTTGCCACTGTCCTGCACTACTGGAACCAGGTGTTCTGAAAAGTTTTCCTCTCTGACCACTCTCCAGGGTACAGGCCGTAACGAGCGGTCGAATGCCCTCTCGAAGTTCAGGGGGGCTAGGTAGCAGCTTCTCGCTTCTCTCGACACCTCTCCGTCATGCTGGCGATGAACATAGCACAGTGGTGGACTTGTTTCAGGCATGAATCCGAAGTCCTGTGGGTTAGAGACCAGTTCCCTTGGCCTTGTGTTGACTGACCGCTCGCACATCTTCATGGTATGGGGAGTCAACTTGATACCGCGGTAGCTGGAGCACTCCGTCGCGTCTCCCCTCTGTTTGAAAATGTGGACGATTGTGCCACTCCTCCACGCTTTCGGCATCCTTTGACGGTTATGCTGTTCAGGAAGGAGCCAACTTACCCCACGCTGTCCAAGGGCCTTCCATGCCTTTATCGTATCCCATCTGAACACACTGCCTTCCCAATTCTCACTGTTCCTAGTTGTAGGCGACCTCCATATTCCTTCCAGAAAGTTATGGGACCTGCCATCGCCTCTACCTGGGCCTGGGCAGTCCTAGAAGGGGAATGCCTCGTTCAGCGGAGCCTCGAGATATTCTTCCCATTTCTTTCTGACTGCGACTAGTTTGCTGAGTATGACGCCGTTTCTGCTCTTCATCGTCTTTAGCGCTCTTATGTCCTCACTAGCGCGATGGTGGGCTTTAGCCAGGCGGAAGACGAAACTGTCCCCTTCTCGGCCTTCCAGGTTCTCCTACAAAGCATCCATCTCCGTATTCTTAGCTGTGGCAACGGCTCCCTTAGCGAGTCGCTTGCAGCATTTG